AAAGACCCTTTGATTGTCCCTTTGGTTTTGTGATGGCTAAAGAAACTCCATTTTATGCTGGGCAGCCTAGCACAGCCATATCTAAGAGGAACAGCGAAAGTCAAGAAGCCAGCTCAGCTGCTTGACAAAGATCCAGCCAGGCTGAGCCTAGTGACACAAATGCTATGACTCAGTCTCCAGCTCTTTGACCTTGATCTCCTTATGTCCCTTGCTTGGGAGGCTTTTATTATTTGTACAACTTGGGACTGTTGGACTGATGGAATTACTTATGAATCATTTATGCCTTCTTCCATGAGTTCTACTTCTAAGCTTCCCCAGGAAAGCCCTGAGCACAATATCCCTCCCCATTTTAGGGAGACGTCTTTATCTGGAAGACTTGAAGGTCTTCCTTATACCCTGGAGGTTGTGACTCAAATAAAGATGCCAGAGACCTCCGGCTCTGGCTCCACAATAGGCTTAGAACATCTGCCCCTGCCCTTACTCAGGAGCAAGATAACCAGAACAAAGTAAAATAAAAAGGTAAAATATTAGGAGTGCTAGAGAGGTCGGCAGAAGAGCAAATTGAAAGCCTCTTCCTTCTACAGAGAATGGTGTGCATAAATGATAAAAGAATGAAGTAGTGAGACCTTCCATTACTAGAAAAGTCAGCTTATACAGGTCTCCACCACCAAGGAGCAAAAGACTCCCAAGGTTAGGCACATGCATTTTACAAATTTATAAAATATAAACATTGTATGCCAGAAACTGAATAACTGCAGCACCTTAGGCTGAATATTTTTCCTGGACCTTATGACAATTAGTACTCTGACTATTAAAAGTTAATAATTCTCTGCTTGGGACATAACAATCTTCCCAGGCTGGCTTGGAGCTGTCTGTCTAGTGCCCCTGAAACCCCAAGAACTACCAGCTGAAAACAGGCTGCCATGCTTTGGCAATATGCCTTTGAAGCTACAAGATGGTTAAAAGTTGGGTTGTGGGGTTGATGAGGGAAAACGATTGTAAAAGTTAATTCTGTTCTGTCATGGTTTATCAATGATGACTAAACTTACGACCAAGAGGAAGTTGAAACTTGTCCAGGGACAAAAATGATATGATCTGTGTTTTGGAACAACATGCATCTATCCCTGCCTACTGAGTTCTATATAAATAAAAAAGTCCTATCGCTGTGCCTGACTCCTTATCTCCTCTTCTGGACGCCCGGGCTGGGCCTGCCAGCAGCGTCCATTTTTGTACCCACTGGCCATTTATATCAGACTCCAGTCCCTGAAAGATAAGTTTCCAGTTACCCTGACTCAGCGACCCTCACCCAGAAATGTACAGCTGTGCCCATGTACTTGTTAGGATCTGACTAACTGCATTTTTTTTTCTTCTGTAACTTGCTTATGCAGACACCCAAAGATTGAGTTTCCTTAACCACTTATTTGGCAGAACAAACTAGTTTTTGCTTGCTTGTGTAGATACTGAAGGTCTTCTTGTGGGTTTCCCTTTTAAAGATACTTCCCTCAACCTCCTTCTGATGGCAATCTTAAGTTTGGTTCAGAGAACATTAGTCCTGCTAGCAGCTAATCAATAAATCTTTTAATTATAATTGGATTGCATCTATGGTCATCTCCCAGGGGTCAAAAACTCCGTAACAGCTGTGCAAGCCAACCCACACCCTTCCAGTGAATTCCTTTTGGTTTTAGTGAAAGCTAGCTTCTCTTTCTTTCTTACCCCCCCCCCCCCGGGGGTTTGGAGACAGGGTTTCTCTGTGTAACAGCCCTGGCTATCCCAGACTTGCTTTGCAGATTAGGCTGGCCTTGAACTCACAGAGATCCACTTGCTTGTGCTTCCTGAGTGCTGGGCTCACAGGCCTGACCCACTGTGCCCAGCTGCTAGCGTCTCTTTCAAGTATTCTAATCGATTCCATGGCATTTGTTCTCACAGCTCGTTGTTCCACTCAGGAGATAGACACGGAAGAAATGACTACAATACGGTTAGGGATGGTACGAGCAGTGCAAGTGTGGGCCACACCCGTCACAGAGAAGGGCATCAGCAAGGACCAGCCTCTTGGGAGGCCTAGGGAAGGCAAGGAGGTATGTATCCGGTGGCGTGAACACGTCCGAAATGCCTTAGCAGCACTTAAGAACAACGCAAACTTAGGAACACACAAGGCCCTTGGCATGATGGATGGGAAAGATGCCGGGGGACTGCAGCAAACAGCCTGTGGCTGTCACTGGGTCTAGTCATTTCACGTCAGAGTTTGGTTTTATGAAGAAGGTGCTCTGGCAGCTATGTCTATAATGCTTCAAAAATGACGTCAGGAGTGTGGAGGGAGACTGGACCAGGGAAAGATCACAGGCGCATCCAAGGGTGGGCTGTGGCCAAGAACCCGGCACGCGCCTGTGATTCCAGAAGCAGATCTGTCTACATAGCAAGTTTCAAGAGAACTAGGGCTACAGAGAAGGACCCTGTCAAAAACAAACACACAAATGTAAGCTTTGAAATCAGACAGACTGTGTTAAAACTCCAGCTACTTTCTCCCTCTGTGTCCTCTGATAATCACTCTGTGCCTTCATCATTCACAAAATGTGCTGTGAGAATCTGCCTCCAGCTGGGTTGCGGTGTGGCCTGAGTGAACTTTGTAAAACCCTAACAGAGAATTTACATACAGTGAATGCCCAGTGGTGTCAGCTGTTAATTTCATGCTGCTTTTAGCTTTTCGCCAATGGTGTTAGCACAACAGCTCAAGTGAGAACTGACAGGAACTTAAACCCGGGTAATAGTGAGCTGGGAAGCCGTGGAAGTGGGGATGGAAGCTGAGCGTGTAACAGAGTGAAGATCGGCCTTCTTTAAGTGTGTGTAAACACAGGGTGCCATGATTTATCTCCACAAGGGCGACTTTGAGAGTTAGATATTATATAGTCACAGTGACACAGGAACGGGCACACTTTGGGGAGCAGGGTCAGACTTCGTCCAGTCTCTCTTGGGGCCGGGGCAGGTGCGCAGCCTACTTGATAGCAAATCCATCTGCCCTAGCTTACTTCTGTTGCTGTGATAAGCAGGTGACCGAAAGCAACGTGGGGAGAACACAGTTGATTTCAGCCCACACTTTATCGCCAAGCAGAGCCAAATCAGGAGCTGAAGCAGAGGCCACGGAGAAGTGCTACACACCAGCTTGCTCCGAGGGCTTGCTCAGCTTCCTTACACAGACCTGCCCAAGGGTGGCCCTACCCACAGCGGGCCACCCATCAATCATTAAACAATAAAACACCCCATAGAAAAATTTGTAAAGTGCACCACAAGCCAATGTGATGGAGGCGTTTTTCTCATTTGTGGTTCCCATGTCCCATGTGACTCTAGCTTGTCAAGGTAACAAGAAACCCACCAGCACAATGTCCAAAGACAAGCTGTTTTCCTTGTACTTCTCATGGAGGCGAAAAGAAGGCCACAAGCAGTGAATGCTGTCTCAGCGTCCTGTACAACTCAGCCTTGCCAGGATTTAGTCCTCAGATCAGCCACTCCTGCCCGGGAAGGGGACAGCCACGTTCTTCCTCCTGCCATCACACAAGAAGCAGGCCATCCAGCTTTTACTTGGGGACTGAGTGGCACAAATGTCATGTAAACATTAACAGCCTTTCCTTTGCCTTTAAAATACAGTTCAGTAAAGCTCTCTCCAAGGACAGGAAACTTGTTTTCTCTTGCTCCACTTGACAAGCTCAACATCACAAGCCGATCAGACAGAGGAGCGCTAACTACTTGCTGGGTATTACAGGGATACGTTCTGAGTGAATCTTCCTAATTGTCTGGAAAGCAGGAGCAGCTTTGGTTTCTCCTACATAACTGGGGAATATTTGCCCAGAGACGTGCAAAGATATAAGATTTTCCAGTTTGCTTTTACTAGGTGCTAGTGGGCAACAGCCAAGCAGTCAGAACTTTGATGGGAGTCACCACCACCCTTCCCAGAAGCCTCCTCTCCATTAGTAACTGGCCAAGTGTGTGCTATTGGCCTTTTACCCTAACACAGGGAGTTGAAAGATGAACCCTCCTTTTCTTGAGACGGGCGAGGTTATCTCCGAGCTGGTTACCATCATTCTTAGGATGTCTGTATGGACGCCCTGCCTCTCCTTGACAAAGGTAGTTAGGTTTGCCCAGAGGCCCTTTCCTTTGTGCTGGATAGCCCTGGCTTGGCTTAGATGTTTCAGGCTTTCCATCGGGCAGTTGGTAGCTTCTTTTAAAGTTGAGAGAGAAGTCCAGGATTTTTAATTAATTTAAATTTCCATGACTGTTTAATTCAAGCAAGCTAGCTATATGTAGAAGTACAGGAGGGGCTGGTCAGACGGCTGCCTCCCCTCTGGGTTTCAGAGAGCAGCCCCTCACTGGCTTTTGGAGTCTTTTATGGGGAAGGGTTGGGGTTGATAGAATACAGCTGTTGAGATGACTGGCTGTTAGCGCCTGGACAGAAAAGTGAGGGAAGGGGCTCAGGGCTGCCTGTGGGGTAGAGAAGTGAAGACTCATCCTTTGGAAGGGGAGCCATCACAGGTGCTCAGGAGTTTAGCAAGGCCAAGGGCTGGGGCTACATTAGCGGGTTACAAGGTCAGCACAGGGTTACAAGGTCAGCACAGGTTGCAAACTGTGGTTGGCAGGATGCCAGAGGTTTAGAAAGCAGAAAGCATCCCTGTAAAGCATGGATTCTTAATAGCAAGGTGTAACAATGTGGCTTCTTAACAAGTGTGGCTCTGGCTTCAGGCTTCCGTTCTACACCTTCCTTCCTATTTACTGTTCTGAGGAGTGAGCAGGGCTTTCCAGCCAGTCCTCCCCCGGCTGCCCAGACCCTCCCTAAAACACAACCTGTAGCAGAGAGGACTCCATTGGAGGTTTATTGGTGGAAGTGGAGGAGCGTCTTGGCATAAGCACTATCTCATCCCTCTCGCGGTTAGCCGGCCCACAGCAGGAAGCAGCATTAGAGGAGGCAGAACAAGCGCAGAGAAGACAGGCCGGACACCCGTTCACGCCTTACGTTAGGGTCCCAGAAAGTTCTCTCCTAGGGAGCTGGCTACAGGAGCCTGCAGGTAGTTCTCATTTGAGTCCTCTTGTTCCCAGAGGCTGTGTCTCAGACTGGCTCTCATGGGCATATTAATTGAAGAGCCCGTCAGCGGGGGTGCCCTGTAGCCGCTGCAGTTGTCTCTTTCTGTATTCAAGGGTCTGTGGGATTCCAGAGATGTGCAGGTCATAGAGAGCAACAGAAAAGACACCGTTAAAAGCCACGGAAGTGTCACACAATGGCTCAGCTGTCAAGAGCGCTTGCTACTCTTCCACAGCGTCCGAGTTCAGTTCCCAGTACCTACATGGCATTAAACTGTCTATGACTCCAGTTCTAGGAGGTCTAGAACCGCAGGCACTGCGGGCAAAATACCCATGCACATTAAATGCCCATCACATTAAAAAAATCCTGCTTAAATGAACTATTTTTTTTAAAGGCTGCAGAGGTTAAGAGCACATATTTCTCTGCTGAAGGACATGAGTTCCAGGCCAGCTAGTGTTATAAGTGAGACTTTGTCTCAGAAGAAAACAACCCAGGCAGAGTCTGGTGGCCTAAGCCTTTACTCCCAGCACTGAAGAGGCAAGCAGAGCTCTGTGAGTTCAACGCTAACTTGGTCTACAACAGTGAGTTCCAAGCCAACCAAGAGTTAAATAGTGAGACGCTGTTTCAAAAGCAAAACCAAAACCAACCAAAAAAAAAAAAAAAAAAAAAAAAAAAAAATTAAAAAATCCAAAATAAACAGGAGACATGTTACTGGTGCTCCTGTAATCTGGTACTTGGAGGCAGTAGAGGTCAGTAGTTCAAGGGCATCTCCTGTCTCAAACAACAACAACATTCCAAATAAATAACCGGAAACTCCTAAGGGGAAAGTCAACTTTAGCCATGAGGAAATGGAGAGAAAAGGTGATGAAAAGAATAATTAAAATTTTATTATTTTATGTGTGTGGGTGTTTTGTTTTCATGTATGTCTGTTCACCACTTGTATGCCTGGTGCCTGAGGAGGCCAGAAGAGCCTGTCAGACCCTCTGAAACTAGAGAACAGACAGTTGTGTGGCTGCCCTGTGGGTCTGGGAATTGAGCCTGAGCCCTCTGGAAGTGCTCTTAACCAAAGAACCAAACTCCAGATCTGAGAAAAGGAAGTTTTTGGGAAGCTGAGGCAGGAGCATTACAGCAAGTTCAAGTCTATTCAGAGCTACAGAGTGAAACCCTGAGTCAAACAAAACAGACAAATGAGCAAACAAAACAAAGGGACGGGGGTGAGACTGGGGGTGTAGTCAGTGGACAGAGCATGTTGCCCAGCACCCAGGAAGCCCGGGTTCCATTCTAGCATGTGGGGGGTGGAGGCAGTGGATCAGGAGGTCAGCCGGGGTGACAAGAAACTCGTGGGGGAGGAGAGGGGGGAAAGGGAGGGAAAGAGAAAAGAGGAGAGGAAAGAAAGGAAAGGATAGGAGGAGAAGAAGGAAGAAAGGGAGGACAGAGGAGAGAAAGGAGAGAAGAAGAGGAAAGGAGAGGAGAGAAGAGAGGAGGGGAGGGGAGGGGAGGAGAAGAGTGGGGAGGGGAGGGAAGGAGAAGGGAGGGAGGGGAGGGGAGGGGAGGAGGCCCAGGTCAATGGTATCCAGAAGGTATGAGCAGGCATCAGGCATTTTAACTTCAAAAGTGAGGCTTTTTTTTTTTTTTTTTTTTTTTTTTCAATCTGAAAGGACCTTTTCTATTCTAAAAGGTGCTGTGCACTACAGGAACTGTCCGGAGGGGCAGCTTTTAGAATGGGACAACAACAAACACCTCCCACTGGAAAAATCACAAAGAGATTTAAAAAAACAAATTATGGGCTGATGACAGCCTACGGCGTATACTTGCCTTGCTGGGGGTTCAGTCTCTGGCTGCTTGTTAGTTGAAACTTGGAGCTAGGAGGAGTCTTTGGTCACTGTCTATTCACACAGGAGGTAGGGGAGACAGTGCAGAGGCTGGCCCGAGCGGCGGCCTTTGTGAGCTGGCATTAGCCAGTCAGTAGCTATCTGACTTATTAGCTCACATTTCTTGGAATAATTAACTCATCTTCCACTCTTTTTACTGCCTATTTGCCATATGGAAACAGTGGAGTTTATCTATGGAATGAATGTTCAGTTGCCCGGATGCCACAGAACCTGTTTTCCAACATAAGCTTGCAACCCAAGTTTAAGGGACAAAGGCATGTGGCTGGCTATCTAGAATGAAAAGAACTAGATGATTGAGTCTTAGGGCCTGAGTTTAGGCTAGGGCGAGGGACACAGGAGCTGACGCCACAGGGCTCACCTGTCTCCTACAGGCTGGTGTCTTTTTGAGAGTCCTAAGAGGCCGCTGCTGGTACACTCAGCTGCCAGCAGCATTGTGGTCTCGCTGGTCTGGGAGGATGACGGGGGGCTGCTTGCAGGCTGTGCAGGGAGATGCAAGTCAGAGGCCTGCTGCCAACAGAGCCCCCTGCCCTCCCCGGCAGCACGGCTTCCGCCCAAGGAGATGCAAGTCCTAAACATTAAGTCTCTAAGCATTAAGTCACAGAATTGTTGGGCCAGTAATTGGGGGAGCAGTTACCCCTTGGATGTGGTGGAAGGGCTATCCAGGGGGTAAGGTATGGACTCTAGAGCCACTGATCTCCAAAACCGGTGATTACCAAAACACCAAAACTCAGACCCTAATGAAGGCGGAAAGAGAGTTCAGTTTTAGATCTCAAATATGGCGCAATCTCTGTCACGCTTTCTGCCTGTGCTTCTGCCCTGGGAAGGCCCAGGAAAAGCTCCTGGCCACAGGAGTGTGTGTAGCGTGTGCCTGTGGTTCCAGCATGTGGGAGGCCAAGGCGAGGAGGAGAGCTGAAAGGGCGAGCTGCGCCGTGGCTGCACAGCGAATTCCAGCCCAGCCTGGGCTCCGCACGCGCACAGCAAATGAACGATAGGAAATATAAAGGGGCGGTGGCTCAGCAGTAGGATAACACTCCAGCACCCGGCCTGCTGGAGGCCCCTCTCCACCCACAGCGAGGGGGGAAGCGTGGGTACTGAGACAGAGAGGTCCTGAGTTTGAGGCCAGCCTGGGCTACGCAACAAGACCCCATCTTTACAAAAATGCAAAGAGAATGAAAGTCTACAAATATCCATGTGGCTATGCTGAAGTTTTCTGAAAACCGCTGTCATCTCATTAAGTCCTTCAGATGTGTTGCGTTGTGGTAAGAAAGTGCGTAAGTGAGGGAAGTGCTCACGAGAGAACGTGTCATGTATGTACACACGTATATATTAGTACCAACAACACGGTATGCAGTATACATTGTGTACATACTTGTCTCTAAGCTCCATGTGGATCGGTTCCAGGGTTCCCCCTCCAATATAAAAGTCCATTGCGCTCAAGTCTCTTATTTGCAATGGCATAGCCTTCACACACGCCTCACGAATCACAATACTACACAAGTAGCTGCTCTGCCATCCCACCGGGGGAGCAGGGGGAGCAGGGGGAGCAGGGGGAGCAGGCTTTTCCCCTGAATGTCCCTGATCCAAGGATTCGTGGATCCGGGCCCTGCACATATGACAGGCCAAGCATCATTTGCATGTGGGAACATGTCCATGTGAGGATGACTGCACGCGTGGGGACAGTTTGTTTATTCTCTGCAGACCTGGGGGCGCCCTCACTTACTGTTGTTTCAGTGGAGGAGTTGGGGATCTTGGGTACCAGGCAGTGAGTGAACTGGATCCTTGGGTCTTTGGTGGTGATGGACAGGCCTTGCTGCAGGATTTTCACCAGGCGGATCCAGAACTGGAACACGGCCTCCGGGTGCTTCTCGTGGAGCCTCAGATAGTAGACCTTCTCAGTCACCGTCCTAACCCGGAGGATGCGCTGGCTCCAGTTATAGATTTGGAGCTCCACGTACTTCAGGGGCAGGATCCTGGGCAGAAGCGGGGACGTGTGTGTCGGCACTTCCAGCTGTGCCTGGAGGCTGCTGGCGGGGGAGGGGGGAGCTGCTGACCCTCTTTATCTGCAGGGCCTACTTCTTCAGTAAAGGCTCATGGGGGAGCATGCCTAATGCCAACACTCAGGGGCTGAGAGCAGGAGTTCAAGTTGAGCCTGGGTTATGTGACTGTCACAAAAAGAAATTAAATAAAAAGAACCTGCCGGCATCAGTTACCGCCACTGATGCTAAGTGCTCATAAAGCTTCTGGATGGGGCAAGGGTCAGCATTGTTAACCACTCATTGCAGACTTTACCAGAGGCCTGGAGACATTCTGAGGGTGGGTCGAGAGGTGACTAGGAGATAAACGCACTGTGCAAGCTTGAGGGCCTGGGTTTGAAGCCTCAAAACTGTGGGGGTTATTGGTTTGCTCTGTTTTTTTGTTTTATAAAAGCCAGAAATTGTCACACAGGCCTGTAACCCCAGGGATGGATGGCAAACAGGTAGATCCTGATTGCTCACTGCCCAGCCGACAGAGCAGCCAGTGTGTTTCAGCTTCAGCGGGAGGCCATCTCAAGGGAACGAGAACAGGACAGTGACATCCAACGCATCTTCTGGCCTTGCTTCCTGACACAACACACACACAGTTTGCACATACCCAACATCACACACACGCGCACGAGTGCGTGCACACACACACACACACACACCACACCACACACAGCACACACAGACACACACAGCACAGTCACCGAGAGCATGGTACAGTGGTGACCCTCACACTTGAGAGGCTCAGGCAGGAGGATTAAGCGTGTAAAGCCACCCTCATCTACAGGAGATCCCGTCTCAAGAAAACAAAACAAAACAAAACCCAAATCAAATGCTCAAGGGTGCTCCAACTTCCTACCTGAGAATTAGAACAAAGATTTTTTGACTCGTTTCTAAGCCTGTCTCCACATCTTTGATCCTTGGATCAGTGGATGAGGACGGCAGTGTCTCCGACATGTCAAGGCTTTGTTTTTCTTGTGTTTTTCCATGATCCTTTGTCTCCACCTCCTAAGATCTGCGATTACGGGTTTGTACCACCACGCTGAAGCCAGGCTCTGTGTGCTGGGAGCACACTCAGCCAACAGAGCCACCTCACTAACCCTTTATCCTTTCCTTTTCTTACATTTAAAAGAGAGAGAGAGAGAGAGAGAGAGAGAGTGTGTAAATGCCACATGCATATAGGTATCTTTGGAAGCTAAAGGTGTGTGGCCAGAGTTACAGGCTGTGAGCTGCCAGACATGGGTGCTGGAAGCGGAGCTCACACTTCAGGAAGAGCAGCGGCGCTCACACCACCAACCTGTCTCTCCAACACACACCACCATTCTTTGGGTTTTGGTTGGTTGTTTTTGAGACAGGATCACCATGCTGGGATTGGCAGTATTTTCTTTCTTCTTTCTCTTTTTCTTTCTTTCTTTCCTTTCTTTCTTTCTTTCTTTCTTTCTTTCTTTCTTTCTTTCTTTCTTTCTTTCTTTCTTTCTTTCTTTCTTTCTCTCTCTTCCTTCCTTCCTTTCTTCTTTCCTTCCTTCCTTTCTTCTTTCCTTCCTTCCTTCCTTCCTTCCTT